AAGTCTGGGAGTGAGCCATTCTCTGGACTAGAAGCAACTGGATGTTTCTCCACTTACATGTCTGATAGCTGAGTTATCTCAAGGGCTGCATTTTGTTGGGACTGTAAACCAGAATGGTTATGTGGAGTCTCTCAGTAGGTTTTGGGCTTTCTCAGATTATGACAGCACCAGAGTAGTTAGTTAGTCTACATGGTGACTCAGAACTCCAAGAGTAAGTATTCCAGAGAACAAGGTAGACTCTACATGGTATTTTTCTTTTGACCAGGTTCATGTCTCTTTTGAAAAAAAAACAAAACACACACACACAACTTGTTGTATGCTGTTGAATTGGTCAGACTGGCACAGGAGGAGATTTCCCCTCCTCCTCCGGCAAAGCATCTGGTGGATTAGAACTATCATTTTGCTCTTAATGGTATAATGCCTTCTGTTAATTTTCCATATACCAGAAGTCAAGGCTTTTTTCTAACGCATAATTCTGACTTATTTTATTTTTCTGTTTCTAATCCTATAAGGATTCTTTATCATCTCCAAGATAAAAATCCAAGGCCATCAGCATCACATATAAGCCTCTTTGTAATCTGACCCTGATCACTGGTCACTCTCATCCTATGCTATTGTCCAAAATATGAAAGGCAGCACAGTATGGTAACATTGAGTTCAAATCCCTGCTTTGCCAGGCCCCATTGTTTCTTGAGTTGTGAGGGAGGATCTTTCTTCTTTCTGTTGAGAGAAAGAAGTCATAAGAAAAATGGTCTCATTTTCATTGGTTTCTCTATTCAGCCAGTTCTTTAGGCCCCAAGGCCACAGCTGGCTTCTGATTCTGGAACCAAAGCTTCCCTTTGATCCTGGGTCTTTTGTTCAGATGCCAGAACATAAGTCTTGATTTCTTCGATACTTACAGTGAATTATTTCTCAGGAGCTTTATCCTTTTAGGCCTCTTAGCTTGTTGCAGACATTTAAGTAACTTTTAACTACCAAACAAAGAGGAAAAGATCAAGAGATCTTTTCTTCCAAGATACCTCTTGTGTCTACATACGCTCTTGGATAACTAACTCTGCCTAGCATCTAAGGTCCAGATAGAGATCAATATACGTGTCTGACACAATTTCACCTGGTCACAGGACTTGAGTCTATGTTCTGATTCAGTAAAAATGTCCAAGAACATCTGTATTCAATTTCAGGGCATTCATGCACTTTTGGAGGTAGTTTTGCCAGATTAAATACAAGCACTGTCTTAAATTTAAATTTCAGGTAGACAACAAAGAATTTTTTCATGGAAGTAGGTCTCATGCAATATTTACATGAGTAACTTACCCATAATTATTATGTGTTTATATGTGGTTTGTGGTGAGTGTGTGTGTGTGTGTGTGTGTGTGTGTGTGTGTGAAGGGAGGATCCAAACTTTTACCAATGCATCAAATGGATCTTTATCTAAGAACTCCTCATTTAATATTAGCTAACAGAACTGATGTGTTGAATGGCTTGCAATGTTATTGTTAGGTGCCATCAAGTCAAGTACAACTCGTAGCAACCCTATGAACAACAGATCTGAACCCTGTCCTATCCTGTGCCATTCTTATCATCTCTGACATACTTGAATCCATTGCTGAAGACACTGAGTCAATCCATCTCGTGAAAGGTCTTCCTCTCTTTTGCTGACCCTCCCCACCTTTTGAAACATGGTGTCCCTTTCCAAGGAATATCCTGTCCTAGCAACATGTACAAAGTATGTGAGATGAAATTTTGCCATCTTTGCCTCAAAGGAGTCCTCTGAGTACATTTTTTTCTAAGACATATCTGTTTGCTATTGGGATATTCAGTACTCTTCTCTAACACCACAACTCAAGGGCATTAATTTTTTTGTCATCTTTATTCATTGTCCCGCTCCCATAGCAAGTCATCCTTATTCATTGTCTATGCACATAGCAAGTGATTGAAAAGAATATGGCCTGAATCAGGGGCACCTTAGTCTTCAAATTAACATCATAGCTCTTTAATAATTTGGAGAGGTCTCAGACAGTGCACTTGCCCAATGCAATGTGTCTCTTGATCTTGCATGGTATATAATGATCTTTAAAAAATATTCACTGTTTATCTGAATACAGATTTAACAGAGTAGCCAATATTATTTTGTTGGCTAAATCTGGAGGACAATCACCTGGTCAATTGACTGGAAGAGATCTATACTTTTTTTCCCTGACAGAGTGCAGAAGTTATAAAAAAATTAATATCACATGCAAGCAAGATTCTTCTGAAAATTATCCGAAAATGATTGGAACAGCATACCAACAGAGAACTGCCAGAAGTGCAGGCTGGGTTTAGAAGAGGTCATGGTACTAGGGATATTATAGCTAATGTTGATGGGTAATGTCAGAGAGTACCAGAGGAATGTCTCTCTGTGCTTCATTGACCATGCAAAGGCATTTGACTGTGTGGAGCACAATAAACTGTGGCTGACTCTGAGAAGAATGGAAATTTCAGAACACTTGATTGTGCTTATGCAAAACCTATACTTGGACCAGGAAGCAGTTGTCAGAGCAGAATAAGGAGTAGGGTGTACACCAGGGATGTGTTCTATCTCTGTACCTTTTCAATCTATACGCAGAACAGATCATCTGGGAGGCTGGGCTCTATGAGGAGGAGTGTTGCATCAGGATTGAAGGAAGACTCTTCAACAATCTGTTATACAGATGACACAACCCAGCTTGCTGAAACTGAGGAAGACCTGAAGCACTTGTTGCAGAAAGAAGGTCAAGAACTGTAGCCTTCAGTATGGATTGAAGCTCAACATCAAGAAAGTAAAGATTCTCACCACTGGGCCAATTGGCAGCATTTCGATAAATGGTAAAGAGATTGGGATTGTTAACAGCTTTAGTTTGTTTGGCTCCACAATCAACACTCTTGGTACCAGCAGCAGGAAATCAAGAGATGAATTACATTGGGAAAGTCAGCTGCCAGGAACCTCTCCAGAGTACTGAATAGCAATGACACCAGTCTGGAGACAAAGGTGCACCCAATCCAGGCCATAGTCTTCACAATTACTTACTATGCGTCAGAAAGCTGGATAATGACTAGGGATGATAGAGAATTGATGCCTTTGAGCTGTGATGCTGGTGAAGAATATTGAATATTCCATGGACTGCCAGGAGAGCAAACAGATTCAAGCTGAAGAGGGTGAAACCAGGCTGCTCCTTGGAGGCAAGGATTCTGAGGCTTCCTCTGACATATTTTGGGCAGGTTGCAAGGAGGAACTTGTCCTTGGAGAGGGACCTCATGGCTGGAATGGTAAAGGACAGAGGCAGAGAGGAAGACACTCGATGAGATGGATTAATTCAGAGACTGAGGTAAAGGAGGTAGGTGTGTCGGAGATAATAAGGTTGGCACAGGATAGAGCAGATTTCAGGGCTATTGTACATAGGATCACTATGAGTCAGAAGCGATTCGAAGGGACATAACAACCACAACAAATCTTGGAACTTATCTTGAACTCAACCACAGTTTGCCTAGGTTCATGATTGTAGGTTAAGAACTAACATACAGTGAGAAGTGGCCTGAGTGTCCTTCCTCCTCCTTCCTTTCCTTTTTTGCTAAACTAAGTCTGAAATACCATAAACCTAACTATTGTGAAGGGTGAACCAAAAGAAAATTCCTTTAGCTCTGCATATTAGGATTTTTAAAAAATTGTCATCTTCATATGTTATTATAGTGACAAGGAGATTGAATGGTGCTTCAATGGAGGTTGACTGGAGATCCAAATAAAATTAAATCCTTCACAATTTCAACCTTTTCTCCATTCATCATGATGTTGCTTATTTGGTGGAGTTGTGAGGATTTTGTTTTCTTTACCTTGAGGTGTAATCTATACTGAAGGCTGTTGTGTTTCACGTCTTTGTTTTGAGCAAGCACAATGTGTAATCTGCATACAGCAAATTATCGAGTTTTACTTACTTCAATCCTAATGCTCCATTCTTTCCTATACTCTAGCTTCGTGGATGACCCTCAAGGAGACGGATGGACTCAGTGTCTCCAAGGATGGGCCCAAGCACAGCAGGAATTGTGAGGATGGTGCAGGACTAGGGTCTAAGTGAGTGAGAATTCATCTGAAAGCATTAAACAACACATGAGATTTGACAGTGTTACAATTAGAGCCAATAATTTCCTTGTTATATTCCTACAGCGGAAAACTGATGCATCAAATTCTTGAAACAGCAAAATCACATTACAGAAATAGCAGATGTTGAAGCGGAGAAAGAAGGGGGGATGAAAACAAATAATCTCGATTATTCAAGCATCCCTTGGGACCAGGGCTGGTGCTACCGTAGAAAACCACCGAAAACTTCTGTATTACCAGTAAATCCATAACAGCAACCATTTAGTCCCTTTTCTCACTAGTCTGCAATTCCATACTAAGGCAAATCTTGCTGCAAAATTTTCTAGAGCAAGGGTTTTTCCGTTTGGTTGATTTTTTTTTCCTTTAAAAAACTTTACTTGGAAAAAGGCACAAGGTAAAACTGTTCAAAAGGTTACATAATGAAAAGTTAAATCTTCCATCCTGACCCCTCGGTCCCGGACTGAGGGTTCGTGGATTTTGGTTAGTGACCAGAGCCCAAAGAAGAATTTTCGGAATAATGTGACTTCCCTGGATATATAATTTTTTTAATATATAATTTTTAATGTAAGGATAAATGTGCATTTTTGTGAGGAGCCTGTTCAAACTTCTACTTGAGAAGGGTTCATGTCTAAAAATTCCCGATGCTGGATTTGAACCGATGCTCTTTAATAACGGAACGGGGAGTAAGAAGCTCTATTTTAATTTGCATTCACGGAAAAAGTTTGCTCCCATCTAGCCAGCTCTAGGCCCTTTTACAAAGTACACTCTCGGTGGGAGGGACTACAGCTTTCCTCTCCGCAAGGTTTTCACTTGCCGCATTCCTTCCCTCTCGGCGCATCGGCGTCTGCCTACGTCATGACGTCGCACGCATAGTCCCGCCCCTGCAGACATCGGCGCTCGGACGGACCCCAGGATCTCTTAAATCCGGAATGTGAGGCCTTGGCTGGGCTTCTCTCGCTTGGTGGCCCGCTCTTTATCCAGGCCTGTGCCCGCTGCCCTCCGGCTGGCCCCTGCAGTAGCCAGGGCGACAGTGGCCTTGCGTCGTGTGCCCGCGTGGCTGCCACCGCCCCTCCGAATCCTCCGGGGCCGCCGAGGAGTTCGCTACGGAGGGAGGCGGGGGCCTTCGGGAGGAGGAGGCGGAGGAGGCGGAGGAGGAGGGAAGGAAGATGGCGGCCGTGGAACTAGAGTGGATCCCGGAGACTCTCTATAACACCGCCATCTCCGCTGTCGTGGACAACTACACCCGCTCCCGCCGAGACATCCGCTCCTTGCCCGAGAATATCCAGTTCGATGTTTACTACAAGGTACAGACCATGGGCCTGCTCTGTGCTCTTGCCGCAACCTCTGGGGCCGCACCCCCTTCCACGTCTGCGAACCCCCGCAGTAACCCCTCACCCCTCGGAGCAGGCTCGTCTCCCGGTATACCTGGTGCGGCCTCCGATTGCCCATATGAAAACACCCTGCCTCCACGTCCTCTGTCTTTCAAGCTCTTGAGACATGGCTTACTTTTCTCCCTATTGAATTTTGCCCCCTTTCCGTCTTTTCCCTGGACCTCCGTGGGTGGGCTTTTTGCGTAGACTTCCCTGTTCTGCGCCTTTCCCACTCAGCCCTTCATTCCAGTCTGTATCCTCAGGATATTTTCTGTCCTCTCAATGAAGCGTCAGCATCAGCTGGACTTTTTGCTTTATTCCTTCTCCCCGCTCCCTCCCTCCCTCCCTACTCTCTCCACCCTTTGCCCCCAAATGTGTTTCCGCCTCTTCCCCCCTCCACCTTTGTATTATTTCTTCATCCCTGTTTTCTCTTTGCAGTCAATAAGGGAATTGAGAGATTATTGGAAATAGCTCGTGTCTTGTATTTGCACATTCTATGTAACTTTAACTTTTTTGCTATTCGAGATTGGATTGAGGGTTTTAGTAATTTGGCAGTGGTAATCAGTTATTTGAAAGGAAGGGGAGAATCTTTCCTGGAAAGGGGCGGGGGGAAGCCCTAACAATAAACCTCAGCAATTGAAAAAGTTCAGTTATGTCCAAGTGGAAAGTTGCAATCTTTGTAACATTCCAAAATCGCTCCCCCTCAAAACTCTGAACAGAAAATCTCCCAATCATTCTCCAAGGAGTTTCAAGGGTAAGTGTCTTTGGATATGGACAGTTTTACAGTGATTTTAGAGGGAGGAGAAGTTTATGGGCTCGGAGCCTCCCTTTTCCACCCCCACCCCGTATTCGAATGTGAACACTGGATTTATTATTTCGTTCTACTTTCCTTGAATCCTGGAGGATGACTGTTCTCCAGGAGTAATTCGTGCAGTATTTGACCAGAAATAGAGGCTGATTTACCTTTTTTAGATCTTCAATCCGTGCCCTTAATTTGCAAGTTGGCTAGATAATTGTAAACTGATATTTAACAGATGTGCATGTTCTTATATATGTGTGATGCTTTCTGGCAGTTGTTTTATTGGGAAGATTGCCCACTTTCTCCACTCCTATACTACTTTTTTTTTAAGGCTTAGCTGCTGACGGTCCTACATTCTCCTAAATTCAGCTGCTTTGTACCAATTCTAACTATTGAAGAGGATAAAATAAAAATTCTTATTTAAAAAAGGTTAATTTGGTCATGCATGTGTTGTTGGGGTTCTTTTAAGACAAATTCCTTTTATTTTAAATTTCTTTGATACATTAGTTTACTTTTCTGCATCACTGAAAACATTTTTATGGCTAAGATCTAGTCCTACTGAGAAAAGGATGAATTGGATTTGTCTTTCTCAACCTGGGAGACAGTTACTGGGTTTCTTTGTACAGTTATATGTCTTTTATAAAAGCATACGTAATCTTTCACACTTTTTAGAAGAAAGTATTGGCAGTTTAATCTTTCAGTAGTTGGAGTCTTTCAAAATACTCGACTATCTTCTAGTCGAAGTTGAAGCTTCACTTAAAATGGGAGCTTTTCTTTTGAAAATTATTAGTGAGTATGAACAGATGGTGCTTTTGTCACATTTTCCATTTCACATAACTCACACAATTGTAATACTGCATCATGTTGGCATACTTTCAGTCCGTAATAGTTGTATGCCTGTTGAAATTACGAATTTGTGTTAAGGGGAAGAAGGTATTTGCCATGCCCTGACACTGAGTTACTGCTTTTATGTATGTTATCTTGTTTAAAACAATTATAGGTGTGAGAAATTTAAATTTGTCTGTCACATACCTATGTGAGTTGGAATTCAAATCTAGACCCCATTCTTTCTATTGTACTTAGAAAGAATTCCATCTTTCTGAGGTAGTAGGTTATTTGTAATGAGAAACACTGGAGAACTACTTTTTAAAAATTTTATCTTATTATTTTTTTTGTGTGTGTGTACCATCAAATCAGATCTGACTGGTACAGGAGGAGATTGCTCCTCTTTTCTCCAGCAGAGCAGCTGGTGGATTTGAACTACATACCTCAGGGATTGCAGTGCAGCTTCTTGCCACTAGGCCACCAGAACTCCCTGGAGAGAACTTTTTAATTGACTCTTGTAACAGATGTCTAAAGGTGAAAGTCAGTCCCCTGGGTTAATAAAAGATAACTCATCTCCAGTCTAATTTGTAAAGACTTTTAATCTTATTCTTTAAGGTTTAAAAGATAGAAGTTTGTAATCAGATCCCTCTAACAGTCCCAAGTTCTCTAAGTAGACATAGCTAAAGACAAAAATCATGGTATTTGTGCAGTCATAATTCTATTTCCTTTATAGTCATGTATTCTAATGTGACTGTTAATTTATGTCTGTAGTTTCAGATGAAGAGAGATTCATAATCCATTGTTAGTTGTTATGTGCCATTAAGTCAGAATTGATTCATAGCTGCCTTTCCAGCAGGTTTTCAGAGGCAGTTGACTGCACAGGAGATTGCCCATCCTTCCTTCCTTCTGCAGAGTGGCTGGCAAATTCAAACCACATACCTTTGAGGTTTCGGTGCAGCCTCTTACCATTAGGCAACCTGAGCTCCTTATATTCAGGTGGTGGTCGTGGTGCTTTGTGTGTGTGAATCACTTCGTACTCATAGTGACCCTCAGTAAAATAGCTTTGTCTCTGACACACCTATGTGCATTCGCCCAGTCACTGAGTCAGTCCATCGCATCCAGGGTTTTCCTCTCTTGCACTGTCCCTCTACCTTTCCCATCATGATGTCCTTCCTTATAAAGGTATTAAGGTTGTTGTTGTATACCCTAGAGTCAGAACCGACCCATAGGTGACCTTCCAGAGGGTTTTCAGAGGCCATAAATCACACAGTAGAATATTGCCCATCCTTCTCCCACGGAGGCTCTGGTAACCTCAAACCACGTGCCTTCAGGATTGCAGTGCAACTTCTTGCCACTAGGATACCAGAGTGGCCTCAAAATGAAGTTAGAAAAGAATACTACTTCCTCTTAAATCCAGGAAAAAGGAATTGAGGATCTAAAGTATTTGATGATGCCTTTATCAGTCTGAGTAACTGTAAGAAATATTGTTATGAAGTAGGCGGTAAGATGTAAGCTGAGAGTGTGTCATAGAAATGGTGACTTCTCTGTAGAATGACCAATTAGAAGTTTGAAATGACTGCAAAGCCGTATGACCAACTAAAAATAGTTTCAAGAATTGGAATTGACTCAGCAGCAGTGAGTTTGATAGATGGTCCAATACAGATATGTCCTACAGAATAATGGTTTCTACTCTGAGTGTTTTTACCCTTAAGTGTATGTAAACATTTCCATACAGAAGTGGATATGGTGAATTATAGGGCTAATCCAGAGTTGGAGCAGTTATATACAAAGTGAAAGCCTGGATTTTGTTGGTTTTTTTAAAAAAAATAATTGGTTTGCATACAAAACTTGTGTACATTGTGTATTATTCATATACTTTGTGTTTCACACATTTCCTTCATTCACATTGTATTTCAAACTAACACATATATTTTGTGTTTTATAAAATTAATCACCATTGATCTGTGCCTATTACCTCTTCTTTTGAGGTCCCCATTGCATTTTTTTCTAATCCTTTCTCTCTCTTGCTCTTGCTCTCAACACTTGTGCTCTCTTTCTCTCTTACTCACTCTCTCTCACTCACACACACCCAACTCTGTTATGATAATCCCGCTCCCTCTCAACTTAACTCCTTGCCCCTTCCCCCTTCCCCTTTTGGATTTTATACATATCTTACTAAGCAGTGTTTGCCCTTACGAGCCTCAGTTAGTTTACTCAACGTAATGCTGTTACTCCTTAGAGCTGTATAAATGTACTATAATTTCTCAGTCCATTCATTTGTTGATTGACATTTGGGCTCTTCCTATTTTCTTGCTCTCGTGAATAATGCTGCTATGACCATAGACATATGTTTTTGTCTAAGCTTGGTTTTCCTTGGGATATATTCCTTGAAGTGGAATAGCTGGGACATATAAGATTTCTATGTTCAGCTTTTTGAGGAAATGCCAGATTGCCTTCCAGAATGGTTGTACCATTTTACAGTCCCACCAGCAGTGCACTAGAATTCCAGTCTCTCCACATCCTCTCCAACACTTACTATTATTTGCTGTCCTATTAAATTTTGCTGCTGCTATTGGAATGATATGGTATCTCATTGTTTGGATTTACATCTCTCTTATTGCCAGTGATTTTGAGCATTTCATGTGTCTCTTGGCCTTCCAGAGTCTTCCTTTGTGAAATCTTTTCATGTCTTTTGCCCATTTTGTGATTAGGTTATCAGTCTTTTCCTTGTGGAGTGTAACCACTGGCTGAAACCGACCTGCGGGTTCATACATGTTCTAGAGTGGAACCTGTGCGGGTTAAAAGAGGAGCAGGGACACGAGAGATTGGGGCAAGACAAAGATTACTGATCAAGCCCAAATTTATTTGATGAATTCTGCTATAAATAGACAGCTGAGTAGGCTGGGCTGCCAGGGAACCCAGCCCTAGGTTATCAGTTTACAAAAGAGAGGGAGGGGCATGCCCCAAGGTGTTGATTTACAGGTGCTGATTTAAGAGGTAGGCATAGTCCCAGAGATGGGCAGGGGTGGCGGCTGCATGTACTCAGGATGGCTTCCTACAGTGGAGGCCCTGTAGTTTTCTGTAAACCTTCTTTATGAGATCCTTGTCTGAAATAACATTACTAAATGTTTTTTTCCCAGTCCTCAGGTTTTCATTCCATCCTATTGCAAAAAGGTTTTGATGCACACAGGGACTTAATATTTAGAAAGTCTTATACATAGATTTTATCATCTCCTGAGTGTGCAGAGCCCAAGGGGTTTTTTATGTTTATTTAAATTTATTAATTAATTTCAGTAAAAATTTACAGAGA